ATATATATATATATGTGTGTGTGTGTGTGTGTGTGTGTGTATGTGTGTGTGTATTACATAGTTTTATTCTGAACTTTGTCTACTTTGCTTCCATTCTGTCTCTAAGTTGTTCCTGTTGCCACTCTGAACGAACGCCGTCGTTATCGTCATGATGTGTTGTTGTTCTTGCTATTGTTGTAGTATCTCCCTGCCGATATAAATTATTCAGATCGCATATCTAACTTAGTTACCTTCTTCCAAAGACTTTTATTCCCAACTAATGGTGCCAACTTTTTTTTTGCTTGAAAGAAAAAAAAATCTATCCAATATATTCAAATATATCCCTAAAAAATAGCGACACACATTCCTTTATTAAACCAGTCCTGCCCTATAAAGCTGGAAAACTAGGGTGCATTACTTTTTGCTAAAAATAACGATTGATGACTAACAGATAGAATTCTTTATGAAGAAAAAAATCTATCTATCTATCTATCTATCTATCTATCTATCTATCTATCTATCTATCTGTTATTAATATATCTAACTCTGTTTCTCTCTCTCTCTCTCTCTCTATCTATCTATCTATCTATCTATCTATATATATATATATATATATATATATATATATATATATATATATAGGGGTAGAGAGAGGTGGAGATATGCACAGACAAGTCACCGTGTATATCTATTTATCCATGCACACATATATATATCCATCATCTCTCTCTATATCCATCTCTCTTTCTTTCTCTATAACCGTGTGTAATTATCTATCTATCTAGCTCTCTCTCTCTCTCTATATATATATATATATATATATATATATATATATATATATATATATATATATATATAACAACAAAAAAATTGTACAAATCGTGTAACCGCATAATTATCCATCCCACAAAATGTTTAATATCTAACAAAACATTAAATTAATTCAATTTCTTTTTTTACGGGTTTTCAGATAAGACGTTTCGTCATCTTGGCACTATTTATCGTAAGAATCAATGAAAAGCCCTTTGAGTTATTCAGGTAGAAAGAGAACAGGTTAAAATCGTTTTCATTCAGCCCCACTATGTCTTCCCAACTGAGTAATGATGAGAGGAAAGAGATCATTCAGGCCTTCAGTAATGATGCCAACATTCATACTCTCTCTCCAATCTTCAAAATCCGTTCAAGTACTATCAAGAGGTCGGCGAATAATTTAAAAAATAAAACGGTGCAAGAGTAGAGAAGAAAAACTGGATCAGAATGGCACAACAGCAAAAGGGACAATTATTTCAACTTAGAGCTAAAGAGATCAATTTTAAAAAGTTCCAACTCATTTCATAAGACGTTTAAATATATATATATATATATATATATATATATATATATATATATATATATATATATATATATATATAATTATTTAGATATTATATGCGCGATACTTATTAGAAAGCGCTCAATATCAGAGATAGAGCTAACATATTAGGGTTTGTCTGACGATCGCAAAAGCATGAAACTCAGGGTTACAAACTCACATCAATCCAACCAAATATATATATATATATATATATATATATATATATATATATATATAAGACGTTTTTATGATTATACATTCTTTTATAGATAAAATTAAAAAAATAATTGTCGGACTTTGTCCATTTCATAATATATATATATATATATATATATATTATGAAATGGACATTATATATATATATATATATATATATATATATATATATATATATATATATATATATTATGAAATGTACAAAGTCCGACAATTATTTTTTTAATTTTATCTATAATTATATAAATATATAATATAATTTCACACACACACATATATATATATATATATATATATATATATATATATATATATATATATATATATATATATATATATATGTGTGTGTGTGTGAAATTAATTTCAATCGTTCATGAGCCAGTGGTTCTCAAACTATCTGAAATGGCGGACTGCCATTTTTTCCTCAATGCGTCACGTACCTGTAATATTTCGTAGTAAATATGAATTTATACCGGAAAAACTTAATATATATATATATATATATATATATATATATATATATATATATATATATAATGGATATAATAAAAGTTGACTATTCTTTATTTTCTATTAATTTTGCAAAAAATAATTCAATATCAAAGCCTGTAAAACGTAATAAAAGAATAAGCAGTTTATTAAGACAAGAACAAAAATTATATAACCTTAATCTTTAGAAATGATTCCTTGGCATGGCCTGGACACTGGCCGCGTACAGGTAGCTGATGGTTGGCGTACCGGCACAGGTCCACGTACCGGCACAGGTCCGCGGACCACCACTTTGAGAGTAACACTGCATTAAACCATTGGTTGAATAGCTTGTAAAATAATTATTTTTAACACTAGATAGTAATTTATTTAAAACCTGGTTAAATGTTTTTACGGTAGCGTAGAAAATGTGCAAGTATTCATTTTAGTTTTGCCGTTACAAGAATGGTGGTGTAAATCAAATATTTAAAGGTGGGAGAGTTAAGTCACATGTTAATTTTTATAGATACTCCACATGGTTGAGTCGTCTCCATTCCCTTCGTATTCCATTTGTAAGGAAGAAGTTACACTCAGAAAGCTTATTCCCAATAATTGTTTTTTTTTGTGGAACAGACACCCGGCAAGATGTTTTCTTAATCGCTACAATCTTGACCTCTTCAAGTCTACGGTTAATTGTTATCTTAGCTGCATGGACTTAATTTTTTGCTTATTTTTTATGCTTATACAACACTACACAGTAACCCTCTACCTTGAGGAGCTCTTGGGCCGTGTAATAAGTGAAAATTAGTATTAAAAAAAAATTATTTTACATTTTTATGTGATACGTTCGTAAAATGGACATTTTTTAAAATCCGACTGTAAACATTTTATAAATTTAATTTTAAATACGCATTTACTTATTTATTTATCGCTTACCCTTGTTGTCTGGTATGGGAGCAATAGACTTATTCCTCATATAAGACGTATATAAAAGTTTTTTTTTATTTATTTTCAAAATTAAAGGAACTACCGCATTTTCCGGCGTGGAAGACTCACCTTAATAAGAAAAAAAGCCATTCTCATATAACAACACATACGTCTCTCACATACTGGCGCCACGTATTGTTTACATTAATCACTCGTCCAATTTTGTTTGTATGGCAATGACATACTAGTCAAGAGGAGAAAGGCTCCCGATGCTGCTAGTAAACAGAGCATGTTTAAGATTGTGGCTCGGCTCCAGGAAGGTTTTGGAAATACTTCTAACAGCTAAGTACTGAGGTTACATCATATAAAAGGATGAATTAGATAGATAACATTAATGGGTAATAACTCAACATAAAAGCTGATTAGGTGACCGTCTAAGCAGACTTGAGCCTGGGTGTTGCTTTATATTTCATCTTGGAAGACTTACACGTATTTTTCAGGGTATTTTTTAGGAAAAAGTGCGTCTTGTAAGCCGGAAAATACGGTAATAATTTTAGACAAATGATGGAACTCAGCTCAATAACTTTATCATAAATTGAGGCTAAGAGGACAAATTTAGCCAAAGGTTAGGTCTGAAGGTCTGGTACAACTAACAGAAGAAGAGGAACACATTTTGCAAATTTAGGCATCTTTCCAAGTTAATGATAACTGCCAAATGTTCAATAACTTAAATTCAGTTTCTGTACTAAGAATACTACTTCTAGCAAGCACAGAAAAAAGCAGTTCTTTGATGAACTCAATCGAGCGAGTTTTTTTAAGCATGACGAACAGGTGGCATCAGGCTTCCACATGTTGCAGGGGACAACTCCATCATTGCTCATAACTACGAAAGAAGGAGAAAATGTGGAGAGCCATGATCGCCCATATTTAAAAACAAAAAACAAAAAACGTCACATAGATGAAGAATACTGGGAATAATTCTCACTCTTGTTTCGTTTTTATGGTTATTTTTGGACGATGCGCTCTTTGGCTTCCCCTGGTATATAATTCATATTGACCCGTGATAACAATAAGCGTGTATTATTCTTTTCTATTCCGTGACTCTTTAGGACGTGGGTGATCATAGCTTGCCACAACTTCCTATTCTTTGTAGCTCTTGGTAAGTTTTGTCTTTTTGTCATCCCTGTTCATCTACCTATTTACAATTAGATCGTTTACTCGGTGCTTTCCCCTGCCTCTCCTGCCTTCAATATGTCTTAAGTGTTTTAAATCCTCCAAGCTTTCTCATTATGGCTCCTAGAGTTTTCAACTGCCTTTTTCTGATTGTAATTATAATTCACCATTTTGTTTCCATTTTTCTTAAAACGCCCTTGTTACTCAAATGTTCAGTACATGGTATTCTCATTATCCTTCTGTAGTACAACATTTCTCTAGTCTCAAGTCTCTTCTTCATCAGTGAGGAGATTTTCCATCATTCACTGCCGTAGAGGAGGAGTAATATTCCTTAACAGTTTTGAACTCTTTTCTTTGTTGCTTAACACATTCTCTTTCTTAATATTTTGCTTAGTTTTTGGAAGGCATCTTTTGCTATTCTATTCGACTGGCTGACGAGATATCTCTCGAAGAATGCGTTTTTTAGATCTTATTCTGGAATTGAATCGACAAGCGATTGAGGGCAATTCGTTGATAAGTGAAGGCTGGGAAAGTAGTCTTTGCCTTCGACTGGCTGACGAGATATCGCTCGAAAAATTATCTTTTTTTACATCTTATTCTGGAATAATTTTTGACTTGTTTTTTACGATTTATCAACCTTTTGCTGGTTATTTAGAGCCAGAAAATATTTTTAGATCGTAAGGCATTTTTAGAGATAATACTGATTTATTGATATATTTCTTGATAATTAACCCATAGTTGGGGGGAAGAAGAAGTAAATTCATACCTTTCCCAAGTGTATTCGCGTGTAAGTGAATATAACGAACCCGACTAGAATTGAAACACAGCTCTCCGATTTCCAATTTTGAGCAGTTATCCACTACACCAGTCGCGCATCCACGCATATAGCACCTGGTATTCCCAAGCCACCTATCTCGGTATTGACCAGGCTCGATGTTGCTTAACTCCGGTGATCGTACGAAAACCGGTGTTACAACTTGATATAGCTGTAAGCCCTTTATACCAGCCGCGCATTCAATTTTTCTGCACCTGGTATTCCTAAGTGGTCACCCAACTCAGTACTGACCAGGCTCGACGTTGCTTAAATTCGGTGATCGCACTAAAACCGATGTTTCAACGTGATATGGCCGTAACCATTTTATACCTCCCACACATCCAAGCTTGTAGCACCTGGTTTTCCCAAGCGGTTACCCATCTCGTTACTGACCAGGTTCAACGTTGCTTATAATTCACCTTTTACTTTACAACCCAATTCAAGAAGGCAACTTACCCGAATGAGGAAAGCCGTATCTCTAAATATAGAAAGCTTCAATGATTGATATAATTAATAAAATCAAATAAGTCGAATTTTTTAGTAATGAAAGACTTAGACCAAAAGAAAAAAAGAAAGAAGATAGACAGCCTCAAAATAAGCTAAGGTCAGCACAGATTGAGGAAGAGAGACGCGTTCACAACTGGTCACGAGTGATAATATCAAGAGAAGGATGAAATGGTAAAGGCGTCGCAGACGATACAGAGGTCAGAGAGCCGGGGCTGGGTTCGCTTTTCTTGCTGGATCCCAAAGGATTTTATGCAATGTTCAGGAATTGTCGATGTAAACGACAGATGGGAGTGGGGTCGATTAACATCTGTCGTCGTGGTCTGTTCGCAACTGCTGTTGACAGACCGACAGTTAGCATGGTGTTAAGTGAATTCCCTCCTCGTGGACACCCAGACGCGTTTCTCTAGCCACTTCAGCTGACAAAGGACAAGGAAAGGACACATATAATAGAATTAAGCTCCATATTTTACGTCGACCATTATTATAATTAGAATAATTGCGACAATGACAGTGCAATAGTGATGAATTTGCAGTCTTAATGTAGTAATAATATTGTTCTTGTTGTTGGTCATGACGATGATGATGACACTCTTCGATGAATTTTTTAATATAAAAACTATAACCTCTATATAAACTAATCTTGTCAAAAGAAATATTCGGAAAGTTCTGGCGGGATATCTCGTCATAGATTTCTTTGTTCTTGGTCTCCTAGCTCAAGAAATGGCGAAACCATTGCAGACAAATCGTTGATGGTGATGGAGGCTGGGAAAATCGTGACTACATTGTAGCAGCTGACGAAATACTTCTCGAGAAAATGATCTTTTTCTTGTTTTGGCAGATAATCGGGCATTGACAGAAAACAATTCTTGACTGGTGATGAAGCTGGGAAATCAATGGTTGCTCCAAATGTCTGACGAGTTATCTCTCGAAATGTTCTCTTTTATATAACGATATTCTGAAAGTGAATCGGCAAGCGATTGAGTACAATTTTTGGTTGGTAATGAAAGCTGTGAAAGCAATGGTTGCTTCGAAGGGCTGACGAGATATCTCTAGAAATGTTAAACCTTATTCTGGAAGTGAATCGAGAAGAGATTGAGGACAATTCGTTGATGGGGATGAACGCTGTGAAAGTGTTGATAATCTTCGAGTGGCCGACTATTTTTCGTCTTTCTTTGTTTCTTTACTCAGTGAATAGGATAGTGATTCAAGGCCACCATTTGAATGAAGGAAGTTATATAAGCAGAGATTGAATTGGCCGATTGCATTAGATCACATTTATCACCTGTCTATATTGTCTAATTCATCTCAATTCTTGACGGAACTGCCAGTTCTTCAGAATTATGAAGAGATTGGAAGAATTAGAGATTCTTCAAAGAGAAATAAGATTATTCAGTTCGTAGCAGAGTTGAAGTTGGCGTAAATAATGAAAATAGAAATGAATCTCTGCTCTGGTATTTTAACATACATACATACATACTTTATATATATATATATATATATATATATATATATATATATATAAATACAGATATATACACACACACACACACACACACACACATATATATATATATATATATATATATATATATATATATATACATACAAGGGTTAGAAAAACTAATAAACTGTTAGACGTCCATTAACTCTTGATTATTCTAATTATTTTACCTGAATATAAATAATGATTTAATTAGGTGGAAAACAAAAGTAGAGGGTTAAAGTGATGAGCAGTTACCTTTTATGCCGGTTTCATGGTTACAAATAATGGGAAATGCCGAAATTGATATTTTTGCAAGCTGTTCAGATTATATTTCCTAATAACTATATATATATATATATATATATATATATATATATATAGATATAGATATAGATAGAGAGAGAGAGAGAGAGAGAGAGAGAGAGAGATTGTAATCCAGGCGAGTCCTGTTAACAAAACATTCACCCGTCCAAGTACTGACCAGTGTCAACGTTTCCTAACTTTGTTGGTCGGACCAGAACCGGCATTTTCAATAGATATATATATATATATATATATATATATATATATATATATATATTATTAATTATATTATTATTATTATTATTAATAATTTTCATTATTATTATTATTAATATTCTGACTCATGTCAAATTCTAGTCAGGTATGCGTTGTGTAGGTAAACCACTTCTGATATTATTTCACACTTAATATACATAAACTCAAAATGAAACTAGCTTTGATTGGCAAGAGGCACACACAATCACATCACAATCACATTACAATTGATATTTATCGAGATACCAGCAACCTTGCATATGGCCGGAAGATAATGTTACTTAAGGAAATGTGATCTCACAAGCAAAACACTCTCCCGCAGGACGAACATAGTAACAATCAAACGACAACTGGCATTTAACTTCGCCTCGAATCATGTCTATGGATATTCTCGTACCGTACCGTACCCCGGTCATCAGCGACGATATTGGGATTGCCGCCTGGAGTTCAAATTCCATCCAAAGCCGTTGCGTTCTCTTTCGCAAGAATACCATTTGAAAGGTATGAATCCCTCTTGATGCCACACAATAGGATAAACTGGGTTCGTTAGGCTTGGTTGGCAACCAACTCTGAATCCCAAATCTGTTACAAGTAGGACTAACGACTTTTAAAATCCGACAAGTCGCTTATTTTAGTATGTAACTCTTTTGCCTGAAGATAAACAATGTCTTAATTAAGTAGAAAAGCAATGTAGACGGTTAAAGAATTGAGCAGTTAATTTTTACAAATATCCGGTAATACCGGAATTGAAAAAAATGCAATTTTTGCATATTGTTCACATTATTTTGTCTAAACACTATATATATATATATATATATATATATATATATATATATATATATATATATATATATATATATATATATATAGTTACTTCTAAAGTAAATTGAATTGAGATATATTTATAATACATATTTGTATATTTATATTTAATAGGTTTACCAAGATTACACAAAAATACTAAAGAGTAAATTTATTCAATAAAATCGCCATTGGCTTCAACCACGGCCTTCGAACAACTTCGGAATCTCTTCTGGATGCTCTCCTTGTTTAAGTTGTTAAATGCTGCCATAATCCTTGCCTTCTGTTCATATTCAGAGTTACTATGAGATTTGTTGGTCTTTCGCTCAATTGCGCTCCACACATAATAATCAAGGGAGCTGCAGTCTGGGGAGTTAAGTGGTCAGATGTAAGGAGTGATGTGATCGCAGAAAGTCTCCGACGACAATGACTCGGCCCTCCTGTTTGTATGGCATAGTAAAAAGTCCTGTTGCCAGACATAGGGTTTTCCATCAGACACCCTGTTGACCCAAAGCAGCACTATCTCCTCAAGGCACTTGATGTAAGCCACCGTGTTGATTCTGAGAATGCCCTAAAATGAAGCCCTAGTTGATTCTGAGGCCCAGTAGGAAGATGAATAGAAGCATAACGTCGCCATTAGTAGTGAACATTCCAAAGACCTTCGTAATGACAATTAGACTCATCCAAATCATTTCGAATCCTGTGCACTGTCCTATGATTGACAGGCAAACACACTGAAATGTTCGTGTTGGAGCTTCCAGCACGAAAGCCAAGCAGTACAGCATACCGTTTTCAAATTTCTGGCGGAGGGAATTTGGTCATGGTGCTCTTTTTCTCACAGACAGTGCCCAATGACCCTACTATGCTGTACAAAATCAAAAACAAACAACGCACAAAATTAAAAATATAAAATGGTGACAATTTACCCATCGCATCCTATATATATATATATAAAGACATTTATATGTCTATACATTATTTTTATACATACAAATATTTAAGTAAATGCTCTGTTTTATAATAAACAGTATTGATAACATTTACTGAGCTGAATATCCGAGATATTTTCATAGAAAATATTCCTCCTCCGACAGGAATCGAACCTGTATCCTATACGGAACCATCATATAGCCTGACGTTCCTTAACCGATCATGCCACGGAGGATCGTTCGACCAGCAAGGTCGGTTTTACTGCTTTTAAAATTCAATCTTCCATGAACCTTTCACGTACATTCATATCTGCTCAAAGCGTATTCAAATGTAAACAAATGACGTCACACATTATGAAATGGACAAAGTCCGACAATTATTTTAAGACATTTTTATGTTTAGACATTCTTTTTATAGATACAAATACCGGCCTGAATGTCCGAGAAATATTCATAGAAAATATTCGTCCTCCGACAAGAATCGAACCTGTATCCTATATGGAATTGTCATATAGCCTGACGTGCCATAAGCAATCAAGCCACAGAGGTTACTTAAATATTTGTATCTATAAAAAGAATGTCATTTGTTTACATTTATTATTTTTAAATTCTTATAACTTTACGTACATAGGACGCTGAAGGTAAAAGGCCGAACGCCCAAAAGATCTCTGCATGAGGTAGCCTAAAATCCGCTCGAAAGGCGTCTTCTGGGTTTGTTGGAAAGAAAACAAAGCCCTAGTTTGCATATTTAAACTTTTGAATCTTGCAAATTCATTTTCAGTATTAATTTTTAAGTTGGATTGTCAAAATAAAACCATTTGGTTGTTTTTTTATGTTTTTTTTTTTCATTTTTATTTACTCTTTAAAAAATTAAGCTCAGTAACTGTTTATATCTCTGAGGTATTATGATTATTTAAATTAGTCATATTACTCAAACTGTTACTCTCATTGCCGTATTAACAACGTTTCGGCCGTTGTACGATCCACGTAGCATGTCTTTTTCAAAAGGTGATGTGTATGACTTTCTGGGAATTATAAACC